CCAGCCTGGGCTACCACATGAGTTCCAGGAAAGGCACAAAGCTACACAGAGAAACCCTGTCTCGAAAAAACAAAAAACAAAACAAAACAAAACAAAAGGCAAGTGCGTATTATTTACAGTTGAAATGTAGGTTGTATTTAATAGACAGTTAATAAAAACACCTGGATCATGAATCACTTGCCTTTCAAAGGGATACTGAGATGTACAAGAAAAGAAAAATTTAGTCAAATTCACACTTGATTACATTTACAAATGAGAGCCATCTTGCCACAGGATACATGGACAATGCAGAATTACTTTGTGTAACCATAGACAGATTTTTTTGATACATCCCATAAAAAGAATGACAAGATGGGTTTAACTAATTAATGCTATTCTTAAATAAAATGAGAGATTTTTTTCCCAAAAATTAAAAAATAAAAGGAAATTTATAACAAAATCACCTGTAAGAGCAAAAATATTCCAATATTCTACAAATGATCAGATTTTTTTAACAAAAATAGATTAAAAAGGCAGTCTTGATTAAAGCCACAGAAATACTCATTGACAAAACTATACTGATAAACATTTGAATTTACTCAAAGCCTCCTCCTGCTAAAGGTTTTTCTCAGGGCGACTTTAACATCCTTGTTTCTCAAGCTATAAATTAAGGGGTTCATCATCGGAACCACAATGGTATAAAAGACAGAAGATATTTTTCCCTGATCCATAGATCCAGGTGAGGAGGGTTGAAGATACATAAATGCACAAGATCCAAAGAATAGAGAAACAGCAAGAATGTGGGAGCTGCATGTGCTAAAGGCTTTGGCTATGCCTGCAGTGGATCTCATTTGAAGGATGTTAGAAAGGATGAAGCCATAAGAGGTAAAGATAATGACAGTGGGCACAAAGATATATATCCCACCTACAATAAGAATCTCTATCTCATTGACGTAAGTGCTGGTGCAGGAGAGCTGCAGCAAAGGGAAAAGGTCACAGAAATAGTGGTTGATGGTGTTCCTGTCACAGAAAGTCAGTCTTAGGATGCATCCAGTGTGGATCATGGCACCAGAAAATCCCATTATGTATGAACCAAGTATAAGATAGGAACATACCTTGGGGGACATAGTAACATTATACAAGAGTGGATTACAGAT